TGCCCCCGTGACTTTGTCCCACACAGACACATCTGCAAAAGAAAAATTATCTCCTGTTTTTTCACTTTTTAGTGGGTTCTTACTGCAGCACCAGTCCCTTGTCCTGGGAGCCCAAATTCTGCATCTTCTACAATGGGGCACAAGTGCTTACCACTTTCCCCCAGGCTGTCTGCTCCTTTCTGAGGGTTTGACCTCTGCTGCTCTTCTTTCATGCAACGCTTGTGCATCTTTCCTCTGGTTGTTGGTTGTTCTTGGCCACTTAGACCCTCTAACTGCTGTGACACCAGTGCGTTTCTGTCCCTCTTCCTCAGACTCACAGCTCCTTTGTTAGACTCTGGATACTGTGTACGCAGTTCTAGCAAGGCAGAGCTACCCCTCCCTCTGGGTCCTTGTAGTTTTGGTTTCATCAAAGATGTCCCGCCTTTCTTGCTGAAGCATCTCTTTCCTTTCTCCTGTGTCCCTGGCTTTCTTGATCCAATTAAAGAACACCCATCCAACTTCTCTTGCACATCTACCTCTTCCTGAGGTTTTGGTTCAGACAAGGATACCTGAGTCCCCAAATTATTCTTAAGATCTGGGATTTGCGTCTTCAGCATTGTTACGGAATCAGTGCTTTTCATTTCAGTACTACGTGTGCCCTCTCTGGGTTGCAGCACCTCTGGTTCTGGCAAACAGGAAATGCCATGTCTCTTTGTGCTCTCAAATTCCTCCTCTGAGGATGGGATTTGTAATTCTATTTCCATAAAGGAATATTTGCCTTTTTTTCTTGAGCTCCCTGAACTCTCCTGGAAACCTGAGAGGTTCAGTCCTGAGCTACGTTCTTTTCTTTCAATCCCTGCTGGGAATTTATTTTGCAAAGCAGTTCCTGAGAAAAACAGCTGTTCACCTTGTCCTGTCCCTCTCCTTACAGTCTCTTCCCAGTTGGTTGCTGCCTGCCAATCTTCACATACAGCAGTGTCTGAAATTGGCAAAGCTACACCCTTGTTGCTTCTGGCAGCCCTCCTGCACTGTACCCCCTTGGTTTTTTTACCTGGGAGTCTCTGGCTACTCTCACCTTGCTCCTTCTGCTTGGGCACAAGAGGAGCAAATTGCTCACAGGAAACGCCGGAGAGCATGGCAGGTGGCAGACAGAAAGATAAGGGCTGCTCAGGTTTTCTCTTTGGTGCCAGATGATGACTCTGCTTGACTACCACCTTCTTCCGTGGCTCACATCCTACCCCTGCACCCGGAGAGCTTGGGCTGGTGACCATCCTGTCAGCCGACTTCACCTCACTGGCAGTTACCACTTTCCCTGACCTTAACTGCGGCATCATAGGAGCCTAGAGACGGCAACAAAATCCACAAAATCCACTCACCGGTGCACCTTTAACAGCACCCCAGCTAGACCGGCACCCAAAGCAAGCACAGGCCCAACCAGGAGGGGAGCACAACCTCCCTCAGGCTACCGCCTCAGGGGTCACCCCGGGGGAGCCCAGCCTGACAGAAAGCAAGCCCAGGCCACCTGGGGAAAGCCCACGGCCACCAGCGAGCCCCCACCACGGCCCCCCCCAAGCCCGGAGCAGCCCCTCACCGCGGAGGGGGGAGGAGGAAGCAGCCCCACACCTCCCCCGCCTCAAAGACCGCGCCGCGGCCGCCTATGCAACGCAGCCCCCTGCCTCCCGCGCCACCCCCACGGCCACAGCAGCCGCCCACGCCACCCTCCCTCTCCCCT